GCGCTATATAAATAAACTGAATTGAATTGAATTGACTTTAATCTCAGAATTCTGACTTTAATCCCTGAATTCTGACTTTTTTTTTCTTAGAATTCTAACTTTAATCTCAGAATTCTGACTTTTTTTCTCACAATTCTGACTTTAATCTCAAAATTCTGACTTTTTTCTCAGAATTCTTTCAATAAAAAAAGTCAGAATTCTGACTTTTTTCCCCATATTAAACTGAAATAAAATTTAAAAATCAGTTAACTTTTTTTTTTATTATTTCCGTTCCGTACACAGCTGAGTGGAGTGCTGCACAAAAAAAAACAAAACTTTTTAGATAAACAGCTAAGACGTGTGTAACATTAATGACTGAAATTAGGTAAAAAACATGATTATTTATTGAGCTTTTAATTTGAAACTAGGTTTAAAAAGCTGAATCTGTTCCTCTCCACCAATCAGGTCGTGTTTTCACCTGAACGCCACCATCATGACGTGTTAACTAGCGTCTTCATCTTCATTTCATCAGAGACTCACTTTGTCACTAATGCGCTTCACAGCAATCAGACAAAATCTGTTTATTTACTGTTTAAAATATAAGTTAGAAGATGATTTTCTGTAGGACGCCTTAAAGTTTATAACAGCTTTCAGTTCTGGCTGGATCAGAAACCAAAGACTGAGGAGGAGCTGATCTCCTTCACAGGGTTTAATATCAGGAAATATCTCCTGGGATCCTAACTTAGTGCGTGAGAAAGTTGTTTTTCAACTTATTGCATTAAAACCTGCAAACTAAACAAATCTTCACTGCAAAAACAATCCAGAAATTAGTAAAAGATTTCTCAAATTTAGTGTATTTACCCTTAATTTCAGTAAATAAGACAATTTGCCAATGGAGTGAGTATATTTACTCCTAAAGTTAGATAATTAGATATTATGCACCTAAAATAAGACAATGAAATAGTTTTTTCTTATTTTAAATATAAATTGTCTTGTTCTATTGGCAAAGTGTCTCACTTACCTGCTCAATTTAATTATTTTAAGCAAAAATTACTTAATTAGATTTATATTTTTTGCAGTGCTCCTAATCAGAGGGAGAAAAAACTAGAAAGAATTAATCTGTTTATTTTACTTCCTTTCTGTCTCTGTCTGAACTTCCTTTATTATCCTAGCTTCATCTAAGTGAAGCAAATATTTTAACTTTCTCTTTAGTTTCTACTGTAGAGTAATTTCCTGTTAATATCAATAGTTTTTTTAATGTTTTATTTTAATCTGTTCTTTCTTTCTCTGCTTCCTTAAAAAAAAACACTGTGTAGAAAATAAGAAAATTTAATCAGTCTGCTTAACAGGAACTTATTTTCAAATTTGGTGAAGTTTAAGAAAACCGACTGATTTTATTCTATGTTTTATTGATCAGCATAAGCGGATAAATAAATCGTTCTGATTTTTTCAGCGCTGCTGAATTCGATCTGTTCCTTTAGACTCATGGATGTTAAATCTGATCAGAAGAAAAAGCCGAACGGCTTCTTATGTTGGGAAAATAAAACATTTTTCACCATTACTCATCCATCAGTAGAATGATCAGAATCATTCCTCCAGACTCGTCTTTGTGTCCCACAGTGTCCCACAGTGTCCCACGGTGTCCCACAGTGTGCGTGGACGAGCGCTTGTTCCACCTCTTGGTTTATTCACTTGTTTTTGTTGTAATCATGTCTTTTTTTTGTCCTCATGCTTTCTGTTGCATGTTCATTCCTCAGTTGTTTTCAGACTAACACACATTCCCAATAAACCCAGTCGGAGCCAATGTCCTGTCTGTCCCGTCCTGGTTTGTCTCTCCTGGTGTCTCATCCATGCTTCTGTGTCTCTTCTCGGTTCTCGCCTCTATCAGCAGCGTTTCGGGTTGAAAGTTCCTCCTCCTGGGAACTTAAACGGTTCGATCTAAAGCGCCGTCGAACTGAACGAGGAGGAAAACGGAGAAACGTTCAAATGTTTTCGGCTCAGAGTTCCGGTCTGGTTCTAGTTCTAAACAAAATGAGGAAAAACTGGACAGATGCTCTTAATATAATCCGTTTTTAATGGCTTTATTTTATATTTTAGCTTCATTCTCAGCAACAGATGAACAGTTTCAACAGAAATATGTTCATTCTGCAAACTTTAGCTTCTCATTTTCAGAACAATCTGATCCTGTTTTAGCTTCTTTCATAATTATTATCAACGCTTCGCTAAATAAGACCAGCATGAAGTCGTTGAGGTCCAGCTGTGGTTCTCCTGCCCTGCGTGTCTCAGACCACGGCTGCTGTAAATCAGCGGCTCTTCATCGCGCTGCAGGAGCTCAACCAGCCGACCCATCGGGTGTTTTGGTGCAGGTAGCATCTCTGCAGGCACTTTTCTGCTGACATAGAAAAAGAGTTAAAAAGGTCAAGTTGTGGAGGGGCGGTTACCGTACCTCATTCTGGACAACATTGTTTAATTTAACTTCATTTCTTACAGAAGTAAAAAAGCAAAAAAAGAGGCAAAAGAAAAGAGCAGATGTATGGAAGTAAATCTGTGTCGCTGGGATTTGAATTAAAAATGCCACTGGAATTTAAATGTATGTTTGTTTTAACTGTTTCAGTGTTAAAATATATTCAGAACACATTTTTGACCTAAAAAAAAATCATTGTCATTATTTCTACATAGTTGAAATTTAATTTGTTATTTTCTCTTCAGGCTAAAAATTCACATTACTATTTCAGAGTGATTACATTTTTACGGAAGAAGATTAGGGCCACTGAAAAAAAAAATGTTAACTTATTTTTTTATTTTATTTCAGTTTATCATGGGAAATTCTGACTTTTTTCTCAGAATTCTGAGATTTACATTTCGTTTAAATTTCAGGGGCATTTTTAATTGAAATCCCAGCGACACAGATTTCCTTCCATAGATCCGCTCCTGAAAAGCTTCACTCTGTCCAGCCTCAGTCCTGTTATCAATTAAGGCAAAGATTGAAACCAGCCTCACTGACTGTTAAAAAGGTTTTAGTATTTTCTGCTGAGCTTCTTTAACGAGAATAAACGTTTTTTTATTATAATGTTATCTGAACTCGCCTCTGATGCTCGTCGGCGATTCAGTTCGTCGCTTCCTTAACTGCAGAAGAAGCTTCAGGTTTGTTTCATTGAGCGTTTCCTGGAACGCTTCCTGTAGGCGAAGCTCAGGGTTTGTTGAGGTCCAGAAGGCCGACGCTGCTCTGAGTAAAAGCTCCCAGGATTGGTCCAGATCATCTGAAAGCTCCCAGGATCCCTCCGGCCTCTGGTTGGTCCCCCCCCTTTCCAGAGGAGCTCTAACAGGGTAATAAAATGGCTTTGGAGTGGTGTGGAAAAAACGATCCAATCACGTTCCCCCCTCAGCAATAACTCCCAGTAACGACCTCCAAGCAATTCTCTGCCTGATTGTTTGTGATGGTTTTCTTTCTTTCTTCCTCTGCTGGCCTCCCTGCTGCTTTCTTCACCCTCCTCATATTGTCGTGTGGTGTGCGGTGGCGGTGTGATCGTGCATGTGGTGAACCCAGAGATCAGTGCATGACGTGTGACAAACAGGACTGTGATCTTTCTGATGAGCTGAAGCTGAACTAATGAAAGAAAAAGGCTGTGATCTGCTGACGTTCAGGAGTCTGGAATGAGGCTGGGAACGACCGGGACTGACCCCCTGATTTAACGCACGAAGGGAAGGTTTCTGGCTCCAGGTCAGACGGAGGCAGGAAGTTCATCTGTTCTCATATTAAGTCTGGTTCTGCTGAAGGTTTCTTCCTGTTAAAAGGGAGTTTTTCCTCTCCACTGTCGCTACAAGCATGCTTGGTGTGAAGTCGAAGCAATCCGCTACTTTTCCTTAGATAGAAAACTTTGAACCAATGCTACTGGATGATCTGCTTGAATTGTCTCTGTAAAGTGACCTGATATGTTTTTTAAATTGGCGCTGTAGAAATAAAGAGAATAGAATTTAATTAAATCTGAAATCAGCAGGTTGTAACTCTCTGGTTTGCCAGCATGTCTCCTCAGTGGCCCATAAAGGTGGTAAACAGTCTGAGCTGGTTGAACATTTAATGTTTAGATTGATTTTAAGTTTCCATCAATTTTGCTTTGTAGTTGAAACATGTTTGACTTTAGCTCCTCCTGCTGGTGATTTGTAAATTAGCGCCCCGTTAAAAACCACTTCTTATCCACAGAAATGTTCATATTTAAACTATTGTTCGGGTGGATCCGGTTCTTCTGTTTTTGTTTTCTTGTTTCTTTAAGGAAAAGCTCCAGAGAGAGAAAATCCTTTTCTGCTTCGTTCACTTTAAAATTTGCAGAGGTGTCAAAAGTATTCATGTTTATTATTATTAGTAGTAGTATAAATCCTATTGTTTAAAAACACTTTTAGAAAATTTAGGGGATCAACTTCAGCTTTTTTCTCCAGGTAAAAGTGTAAAAGTAGCATTTTTAAAACGGCTTCTGTTCTGTGCTCAACTGTATTAAAGGAACATTTTTCTACAATTCTGAATGAAAACTTCCTTAGATTTCATTGTCTTAGTTTTATAACTAATGGTAACAGCGTCACATTTAACTTTGCATCATCTTAAAAAACGTTTTTGTTTTTTTGTTTTTTGATGAACAACAGGTTGGGGCAGCAGGGGGAGGAGTTAGGCAGTATTAGGGGGAGGAGTTAGGCAGTATT